CTGCCATCTACTGGAAATGTCTGATAATCACAAGAACAAATTAAAATAGGAACTTAGCTTTTTATAAAAATATTTATGAGCACTGCTCTGCACTGCACTAACACACTGGAAATATGAGGAGAATCATATAGATCATTCTGTCAAGGAGATTAAAATCTAGTGAGGGCCACAAATAAAGACAGAATTAACTATAACAAGTTGTGAAATTATAAGGAAGACTGTAGTAAGTGCTAAAAATGTGCAAAGAAAGGGAATACAGAGGGAACACAGAAAAGGTGGAATTCATGCCGAGCGGTGAACTAGGAAACACTTCATAGAAGAAGTGATACCGGGCAGATTCTAAAGAACAGTAGGTTTTCAACAGATAGATCTGTGGAGTGATAATATATAATTCTGCATTTATAACCCTTAATCTCATAAAATAAAGATACATTCTGACTTAAGTAAGATTAGTTTCATCTCTGAAAGAGATGGGAAAAAAAAGAGGCATTGGAAAAAAAACTGGGGAAGGAAAAAATTTGGTTCTGTGTGGTTGGAACCTAAGTAACTAAGGAATAGAGTGGAAAAGTTAAAATTAGACAAATAGATCAGGGTTTTAGTAGACTTTTATGTCCAGCTAAGGTATTTAAACATTTTTCTTAGGATAAACAAACAGCAAGTCAGCAAAGGTTTATGAGCATAGTACTGATAAACTAAACAATTGGAATTTGGCTATATTATGAAGATGCTAATGTACAGGATGAATTAATATATTATATATTTAAATATTGCTGTGCTGTGCAGCGTTGCTCAGTCATGTCTGACTCTTTGCCACCCCATGGACCATAGCCCACCAGGCTCCTCTGTCCATGGGATTCTCCAGGCAAGTATACTGGAGTGGGTAGCTATGCCCTCCTCTAGCGGATCTTCCCAACCCAGGGACTGAACCCAGATCTCCTGCTTTGCAGGTGGATTCTTTACCATCTGAGCCACCAGGGAAGCCCAAGAATCCTGGAGTGGGAAGCCTATCCCTTCTCCAGTGGGTCTTCCCAACCCAGGAATCGAACGGGGGTCTCCTGTGTTGCAGGTGATTCTTTACAGCTGCATTACCAGGGATATTTACATATTATATATCCATATTACAAACATATTATATGTTCCTGTATCTTCTAATAACATATTTATAATTGCACTGTTGCTGCTGCTAAGTTGCTTCAGTTGTGTCCGACTCTTGTGAGACCCCACAGACGGCAGCCCACCAGGCTCCTCCATCCTTGGGATTCTCCAGGCAAGAATACTGGAGTGGGCTGCCACTGCCTTCTCCAATGCGTGCAGGCATGCTAAGTCGCTTCAGTCGTGTCTGATTCTGTGCAACCCCACAGACGGCAGCCCACCAGGCTCCTCTGTCCACAGGATTCTCTAGGCAAGAATACTGGAGTGGGTTGCCGTTTCCAACTGCACTACATATAATTAAAAACATAATATATAATTTTATATATTTTACATCATATAGTTTATAAACTACATATAGAAAATTATACTATTAAACATTTATAATTTATAAGATATTTATGAATTTTAATGAATGCCTCAAAGTATATATGGTACATAATGTGTGTGTGTCTGTGTACATGTGTATACAGCAGCACTCTTGCAATCTATTTTCTCCCTCAATTGGAAGTGCTCAAGAAAGAAAGATGCCCTGGTCAAACTCCCTTGAAAACATGCTACTGATAGTCCTCTTGGCAATTATACTAATGGTATTTACTTGACCTCTAATGCTCTATAGTTGTAGGAAAGGCTTATCTTTGTAATGCTTTTAGCTGATGGACATGGTCTCTCCAGATAGCTCAATGCAAACAAACCAGGAATGTATGGACTCATGTGGCCTAGGCTCCCTGAAAAACATCACTAAGCTATGTACATATCAAGGTACCAAGCCAAAACATCTTATGATCAGGAAGCATCACCATGGGAAGTAGTATATTCTGTTAACCACAAACTCACTTACCCCCTATGCTAATCATATGCACTGCTTTCTATGTCAATCATACCTCAACAAAGCTGTTAAAATTTTTATTTAAAAATCTCATGATCAAAATAGCTCGCTTTTGTATAAATGATGCCCTGAATGATTCTTTTGAAGACTTCACAAGTAAACTAACTGCCAGAGCAAAAGAAGTGGCGGCAGCTGCAGACTTTTCACAACCACATGTATTCTTGACGCTGTTCTAAGTTGAGTATTAGCTAAAATCTCTGATTTTTGTGTGTCTACTTGAATATTTCAACTCTTTGTATTCTGTGTCTGTGTGTCTGCATGCACATATTTTTATATGGTAAAAAGTGGACATGTCCTAAAGAGTCCTCTAATTCCATCCCTACTATAAAACCACTTTTACAGTTGTTTCATATGCTTTCACATCTATGCACCCTACTCTACCCCAGCTTAAAAATCTAAATAGAGGCAAGAAATTTATTAACTACATCCACACCACCTAGAACCATGAAGCTGGCACACAGCAGGTAGTTAACAGATGTTCAGTAAATGAATGAATGAGAATATATCGCCCTCCCCCCCCCCCCCCGGGATTGTGCTATATATACAGGACCCAGCTTGCCTTTCAAATGAAAATTATAACCTGGATATCTTTTAAGTCTGGTTCTTATAGCTCTGTCTCATTCTTTTTAAAAGACTGCAAAGTAGCATTTTATTTGATGACTGTATTAGGATTTATTCGGAGAAGGCAATGGCAACCCACTCCAGTACTCTTGCCTGGAAAATCCCATGGATGGAGGAGCCCGGTGGGCTGCCATCTATGGGGTCGCACAGAGTCGGGCATGACTGAAGCAACTTAGCAGCAGCAGCAGCAGTCTTCCAAAAACACATCAATAGTTCAATCTCCTCCTCTTCCACACAACTGGAAAATGTAAATAATAAGTTAAATACATTGGCTCTGTAGCATCCAGAGTTAATATCCTGCTAATGTTAAAATTGTGGTGAGAAGACCAAATGAAGGAAATCTAAATAGACTCTTTTGACTTTCTTTGGCTACCATACAGGACTTAATACGAGAAAATCTCCAGAGATCCAAGGATGGTTATCNTGATGCTTTTGAACCGTGGTACTGGAGAAGACTCGATAAGGGTCCCTTGGACAGCAAGGAGATCAAACCAGTCAATCCTAAAGGAAATCAGTCCTGGATAATCATTGGAAGGACTGATGCTGAAGCTCCAATACTTTGGCCACCCAGATGCCAAGAGCTGAGTCATTGGAAAAGACTGATGCTGGGAAAGACTGAAGCAAAAGAAGAGGGCGGCATTGGATGAGATGATTAGATAGCATCACTGACTCAGTGGACATGAATTTGAGCAAACTCTCGGAGATAGTGAAGGATAGAGGAGCCTGATATGATGCAGTCCATGGGTTTGCAAAGAGTAGGACACGACTTAGTGACTGAACAACAAATATTTATTAGTCTACAATAACTTTTTAATTACAAAGGACAACATCTAAGCTTATTTTATGTGTGACAAATAATTTCTATTATTCTTACATTTTATCTTTATGGAGGTATCTTTACTGGTCAAAAGTTTTTAATGCATATTCAAATGAGTCACATGTTTCCTTTATAGCCTTTGGAGTTTTGCACTTTGCATAGAGTGTATCCATGCCAAGGTTATTTTCAAAATGCTCTCTTTAATACACTGAGTTTTGTCTGATATAGTTAAATCATTAATTAATCTAGAATTTTATGGTATATTTACCAGATTAAAATACATTATTTTAAAATATTTGAAAATGCAACATAAACTTCATAAGTTCTGTACTCCCTTTTTTGTTTAAATTCCCATAGCTAGATCTAGATGACAGCTATTCAAGATAGGAAATGTGAAAGAATTTATGTCTATCTAGTTACTGGGGTGAGGCACAGTGTTAAAGAAGAAGGAACACTTGGAGGCGACTCCCACACACTCAATTTGGGCTTGAGAACTCAGTGAATTGTGATGCCCTATATAAATATATGGGAGAAACGACAGAGTTTCTGACATGTTTATCAAGAGATGTCTTTGGAATATCAAAGTAGAAATACCAACTATGTTTGGACAGGACTAGAAGTCAGCAGAGAGATATGGACTACATACAGAGACTTAGGTGATACTGGCAAGGAAGTGCTTTTTTCCCAGGGTAAATATTTAGAATAAAAAAGAAGATGGCAAGTGACTGGATCTTGCGCTGGAAGAGGTCACTGAGTGGATGTGAAAGTGAAAGTCACTCAGTTGTGTTCGATTCTTTGTGACCTCATGGACTGTACAGTCCATGGAATTCTCCAGGCCAGAATATTGGAGTGGGTAGCCTTTCCCTTCTCCAGGGGCTCTTACCAACCCAGGGATGGAACCCAGGTCTCCCACATTGCAGGTGGGTTCTGTACCAGCTGAGCCACCAGGAAAATCCAAGAATACTGGAGTGGGGAGCCTACTCTTTCTCCAGGGGATCTTTCTGACCCAGGAATCCAACTGGGGTCTCCTGCATTGCGGGTGGATTCTTTACCAGCTGAGCTACCAGCAATGAGTGGATGTGACTGCTGATTAATCCACAAGCTGGACCTCGGCAGTCAGAGGATTCTCACTCCCCTTTCAGCAGGGAGAATTTAGGCATGGAGAAAAGTGGATGAATCACTAACATTGTCCTATGTTCTACCATTATGTTAACATTGTTTAGTCAACTGCTCCTCAGTCTTTTGGCTAAGATCAAGTGTAACACTGCTTTGTCAATAATAGATACAAAACACAGGTTTCGAAGTTTTCCTGTGTTTATTTTGGTTAAAGAGACTTCAATAAAATAAGACTTGAAAAGAAGAACAATCAAGTACTTTTAACATAAAAATGAAATACCTATAGGTTTATCCACACTAAAATTATATTTTCCCCCATACACAACACATATTAATATTTCTTTGAATGCAAGATTAAAGTTTAACAACTTACCCCTCAAAATAAGCATACATATAACTTCCTCTTACCTGCCGTAAAGTTCGTGCCACTATGCTTTCTAATACTGGTCCTCTATCTTCATGCAGTAAATGGACTTCATCAAGAATAAGGAGCTTTACAATTTGGGAAAGAGCTACATCTCCAACACTCTTTCTTGTTACTACATCCCATTTTTCTGGTGTGGTCACAAGCATCTATAACACAAGAGAAGATAAATTTAAAAGAGGAAAAAGATCATATATTACTTAAATTTTCACTGTCATTCAAAAAGAAATATGATTGACCACTTATATACAGATCAAATAAAAGGTGTTAAAGATACCCAGAATGATATCTGATTCCCTATATACAACAGTCACTTCTCTATAAGTTGTGATATTAAGCAGTTATTTAAAACTCAGTAAAGGTAGTCTGTCAGTAAACTGTACTGTAAAGTGTACAAATTACACAAGCATATTTAAAATGTATCTTACAATATTAAAGAAAAATGACAGTATCTTTTAAACAAGTGTGTACTGATAATGGCTTTCATTTGAAAAGGGATAAAAACAAGTGAACAAAGCATTAAAAGGAAATGAAAAGGATACCAGGAATCTGCTCTAGGAATGGTCACCTGTCTATACTTCTCCAAATTTGGAGGAAACTTTACTATTGATACACAGTTTTAAAAAACTACCACCTTTAATATCAACTAATATATGCAGCTCTTTATTCCAAAAAACAATACACATACCACAGCATAACTGGCACATAGTAGCAATAAAAACAATGGGTCACCGGAGACCCAGGGTACCCAGAGCAGAAGGCGAGCCCAGGGTATTTATGTTAAGTTCTTAGAAGAGACCATTTGACGTGAGCTGTGATTATAAATCTATTTGCTTTCTACATATTGAATTGGCTTGTGTCCTCTAAAAGCATACAATGGCAGAGAAAAAGACAAGTTTAATAAACCTCCTACTAAACCTCCTACTATGATAATATTATACTAGTATATATTTAACATGTGAGGTAACAAGTCAAAAACTGAAGTTTTCTCTTAGCCAGAATATCAGATTATAGAGCCTGATGGTAATCAAAATTCAACTATTTCGTGAAGCAGTTAAATGAGATGGGAGTCAGATTGTTCAACATTTTTGTTGTGCTATTACTCTCATGTCTGTTTTGAAGTTGCTTACGGGAATGGTGATCTTATTTTTTTAGAATGCAAATCACATACTTCTTAATAAATGCATAATCCAAGTTTATCAGTATAACCTGTTGCATTATTAGAGGTATCACGATCACTTTGAAATAAACTATATCAACCACAAAATTTAGCATTTGTATTTCAATATAACATTAATTGGCAAACTATAATGAAATAGATTAAGGCATTCATATCTAAGGTGCAAAATACTATGAATCTGAAGTTACTTAGTTTAATTTGCTAGAGTTAAATGGTAATATTGAAGCCACATCAAATGTTACATTGATAAAAATATGCTACTGGAATTAAGTATAAACAGATGTATAATGAATTTTAAGATCTAAAATGGTTTGAAACATTCACTATGCATTAATTAACATCTTTTATATTCCAATAATTTAAACATAACTTCTACTTTGAAAAATGACAATTTAAAACAATCCAAGATATATCTTACAAATATGCTCAGGGATCACTCACTAACAACTCTTTAACTGAAAATCCTAAAAAACATGCCCATGTGTTTTCAAAAGCAACAATTCTTCTAAATTGTAAATTCATATTACATTAAAATATAAAATAAGCTTACAATTAATAAATGTTAAGAAAGCTACAAAGTATACTACAAAGCTAATAATGTGGTAACAACTAAATTTTAAAATAAAATTTTTCAGATATAAGAAAACTATACTACCAAACCTTAAAAATCCATTTTAGTATTTTGTTTTCTATACTTTCAGCACAGTGAGAAATGACTTCATTTACATTACCATTTCATTACTCTAATTCCCTGAACAAAAATGGCTAGAAAATAAAGTGTCACATTTGCTTAATGAATTGGAACTCATGCAAGACATTTCCATCTGCTCTTGTATTAGGGCATGGGTTAACTGTCAATATTTTTACTGTCAACTGAAATTTCTCTCAATACATGTACTTTATTCCTTTAGGAGTGTAAAAATCATTATTCCAAACGGTTCCAATTTTAGCCGAACCACTGGTAAAATGGCATGGTTGAGATGCTATCCACCACTATTGTGTCAACAATTTGGTATATTCAATTTAAAATGCTCCATCCATTTGACAGCTAAAGCAAAAGACCTAAGCCTTGCTAGAACCACTTCATCTTGTAACTAATATAAACATAATCTTTTGCCTTTTAAAGCATTGTGACCTTGGGGAAATCACTTTATCTCTCCTTCCTTTTTTTGTCTATTGCATTATCTCTGACATGTAACATATACAAACGTAAATGCACAATGTGATGATTTGATACACATACATACTGTAAAACGATTACCACAATGAGGTCAGTTAACACTTTCTTCCCCTCACTTCATATCACTTTTGTGTTTGAGTGTGTGTGTGTGTGTGTGTGTGTGTGTGTGTGGTGATAATATTTAAAATCTGCTCTTACCAACTTTTAAGGATATAACACAGGAATGTTAATTATACTCACTGCACTGTACATCAGATCCCCAGAACACATTCATCTTAATATCTAGAACCTGCATACTTTGACCAACATTTTCTCATTTCCCTTATCCCTAAGTTCCTGGCAACCAACATTGTACTCTCTTTCTTTCTTGAGTTTGGCTTTTCTTCCCCCATATAAAAGCGAGAACATAATAGTATTCGTCTTTTCTTTTCTGACTTATTTCACTTAGCATAATGACCTCAAGGTCTGTTCTATTGTGGGAAAAGGCTGAATTTCCATTTTTTATGGCTGAATAATATTCTATTCTACATACATGCCACATTTTTTTTGTCCATTCATTTCTTGGTGAACACTTAGGATTGTCTCCATATCTTAGCTATTGTGAATAAAGCTGCAAAGAACACCAGAGAGCAATCTCTCTTCAAGATAATGATTTCAGTTCCTTCTGATTTATACCCATAAGTAGAACGGCTGCATCATATGGTAGTTCCATTTTTAACTTTGTGGGAGACCTTCAAACTGTTACATTCCCAGCTTACAACAGTGCACAAAAGATCCCTTTTCTCCACATCCTCACCCATATTTTCATCTCTTGTCTTTTTTGATAACAAGTCAATCTAACAGCTGTAAGGGGATACTTCATTGTGATTATGACTTGCATTTCCCTACTGATTAGTGAAGTTCAATTTCTTTTACTGTACCTGGGGATCATTTGCATGCCTTCTTTGAAAAAATGTCTATTCTAGTCCTCTGTCCATTTTTTGTTGTTTTGTTTTTGGTTTGGCTTTTGTGTTATGTGTGTGTTTTGCTTTTGAGTTGTGTGGATATTAACTTCTTATCAGATAGATGGCTTGCTAATATCTTCTCCTACAGGTAACCTTCTTATTCTGCTATTTCTTTTGCTGTGTGGAAGCTTTTTTTCACTTTTGTTTCATGGGCTTTTGGTGTCATATCCAATAATCATTCCCGATCAATGTGAAAGAGCTTTTCTCTCTATGTTTTCTTGAAGTAGCAGTTTTACAGTTTCAGGTCTTACATGTAAGTCTTTAATCCACTCTGAGTTAACTTATTGTTAACTCAAGTTAAGTGGCTTCAGTCCTGTCCCACTCTTTGCGACCCTACGGACTGTAGCCCGCCAGGCTTCTCTGTCCATGGGATTCTCCAGGCAAGAAAACTGGAGTGGGTTGCCATGCCCTCCTCCAAGGGATCTTCCTGACTCAGGGATCTTCCCAACCCAGGGATTAAACCCTCTTCTCTTATGTCTCCTGCATTGACAGGCAGTTTCTTTACCACCAGTGCCACCTGGGAAGCCCCTTAATTTTTTGTAAGCAATATAAAATAGGTGGCCATTTTCATTCCTCTGCATATGGTTATCCACTTCTCCCCATACAATTTACCAAAGAGATCATTCTTTCCCAACTGTTTTCAGCTCAACGGTCAAATATTAGTTGATGGTATATGTGTGAGTTAATTTCTAGTCTCTCTTCTGTTCCATTGGTCTATGTGTCTATTTTTCTGACAGTACCATACTTTTTGATTACTATAGTTTCGTAGTATAGATTAAAATTAGGAAGTCTGATACCTTCAGCTTTGTCCATTCTCAGGATTGCTTTGGCTCTTTGGGTCTTTTGTGGTTACATACTAACTTTAAAAAGCATTTTTCCATTTCTGTGAAAAATGATAATGGAATTTTGATAGGGATACATTGAATCCATAGAAGGCTTAGAGAGTATAGACATTTCTCTTTCAATGTATGAAAGACATTAACTCTTTCAACATATGACAGACATGAGCTATCTTTCCATTTATTTATTCCATTTATTTCCATTTATTTTTCAATTTCTTTCCTCAGTGTCTTACAGTTTTCGGTATACAGATCTTTCACTTCCTTGGTTAAATTTATTTCTAAGCATTACATTTTTTTTGATGCTTTTGTGTATGGGATTATTTATTTCTTTTTCTGATAGTTAGTTGTTAGCATATAGAAATGCAATTTCTTTTTTTTTTTTTTGCAATTGATTTCTGCATGTTGCTTTTGCATCCTGCAACTTTACTGAAGTTGTTTCTTAGTTGCAGAAGTTTTTTCCTGGAGTCTTTAGGGTTTCCTATATACAAAATCGTATGTGCAGTGACCATATTACTTCTTTTCTGATTCAGAAGACCTTTATTTCTTTTTCTTGCTTAATTATGCGGGCTAGAACTTCCAGTACTATGTTGAACAGGACTAGTGAGAATCTGCACCCCTGTCCTGATCTAAGCAAAGAAAGACCAACCTTAGGAAAGTTTTCAATGTTTCACTGTTGAGTATGATGTTAATTATAGGTTTGTTATATATGGACTTCATTATGCTGATGACAATTCCAACCCAATTTGTTGAGAGGTTTTAATCATAAAAGGATGTTAAATATTGCAGGAAAAAGTTTAAAAATGAAAGACATAAAATATCATGTGTTTAGACAGCATGTGGAGGAACTAGAACTCTCATGAAACAATGGTGGAAATGAAAACTCACACAACCATTTTGAAAAGCTGCTTGGTATTACCTACTAGAGATGAACATATTTAAGTCT